TATACAAAACGATTGGAAAACTAAGTGATTTTATTTAGAGTAAGCTATAAATTTCATGTCAGTTAAAGTAGTCGTTCGAAAAATATTTATAGACTGGTTTTCTACTGTTTCACGAGAGTGTTCTTTTTTTTTTTTTTTTTAAATTAATTACTCTTTCCCGAGACTACCAGTTGGAGTTACAGTTGTATAGTTGTAGTTTTATAAATTAAAATAGAAATACTATATATATATATATAATATTCTTATAAATCTTTGAAGATAATTCTAATAGATTTTTAAAATAATTAAACAATTTTTAATCTATTTAATATGTTGGTAATTAAATATTAAATCATAGTAAATTATTACAATGAAAATTAAATGGGATTATCAACATATCTCGTAGATTTGAATGACCGAATATAAACTTTGACTTTAAGGAAAAGAATAATACAAGATGAAAATCATTTTGTTAATGTCTCAAATAACATTGAAAAAAGTATAATTATTTATTCACGTAGTAGAGTAAGGCCAAATCTCGATAATCTTTGAAACTTTGTTGTTGGTTAGATACGCATGTAGGATAAAGTAGACGTTTATTACACGTGTGTCGTTTGAAAAGCGTTGCAAGCATCTTTTCTTTCTCTTTCTTTCTACATACATCTCTTTTCTTTATATATATATATATATATATATATATAAATGCATTTATGTATATACAGTGTATCCCATGTGGTGCATACGCACGCGATTTAATTTGCACACAAAGTACGTACTTCGCGTTTTGCGTACGCTCACGATCGACTGGATAAGAAAGTGTCATTCCAGAGAATGCCAGGATAAGTTTTACGAGCACGAATATCTTTCATGTTAAATAAAGAATGTTTTATAAATCAAGATTGTTCAAAAGAAAGAAAGAAAGAGAAATATAACTCAAAGTTTAAATGAAAACAATTATTTATTTTTCATATATATTTAAATCATTTCACATGTTTTCATTTAATTATTGGGTTGACAACTATAATCTGCAATTACTTAGTTGTCAAGTTAATATTTTATTACAAATCAGAACGAATACCATAAGTTTGTAATTAATTTGAATTTTGTTCATTTTGTTTTCATTTTTTAGAAGCATTTTTTGAACCCCAAGCCAATATTTTATTACAAATCCGGACGAATAGCATAAGTTTGTAATTAATTTGAATTTTGTTCATTTTGTTTTATTTTTTTTTTATAGACATTTTTGAACCCCACTTTGTATGATATAAATATACAAAAGATTTAGAAGTCAAGGGAAATATATATTTGAGATTTGAGATTAGAGATTTGAGATAGTTTGGATATAAATATTTCGTATTTAGAAACGAAACACTTAAAATACAGGTGATTTATTTAGTAACTCGTTAGATTCATCCACGTGATGATAACGGTCGAGTATTTAGTCGTAAATTAGCAAGTAGAGCTTATTTACTATCTCATTTATTCCTTGTAACTATTTCGTGCTAGTTCTACACTCAATCTTCTTCCTTTTCTTATTCTCCTTCACCTTCCTAAGCTTAAGAGAGGGACATTTTAATACCATTTCGCCACGCGATTAAACCTACCCATCGTCCATAAATCCTTCCTTCCTTCCTTCCTTTTCTTTTCTTTTGAGAGAAAAACAACTATTAACTGTCTTGTGTTTTAACCATGCAATTATCGATTCCACAACAACCATTTATAATTAACCAAAATTTCACCGAAAAAAAAATATATTTATCAGTATGAATAAATAAAATTTATTTGGAAATACTTTCGCAAAGTTGTTTCTTTTTTTTTGTCAGATATCGATTAGTTATTTTTTTTTTTAAAGAGAGAGAGAGACACACACATGTCGCATCCTTATGAATATTAACGAGCGTGGGATCATTTCATAGGCACATATACATATATAGAACCGATCTTTAATCGGCTATTTCACTTTCTCTTCGTTTTAGCTAGCTGAAGTTTTACGATCGTGAGTTATGCGGACATTGAACGTTCGCGTGATTGGCGTTCTTTGAAATTTAGATACTAGGAAGAGACGATTCATTAATTTTTCGTATAATAATTCGCTGTATATATATATATATGTGTGTGTGTGTGTGTGTAGGTGCTTTCTATCCTTCGGATAATGAAAAATAGGTGAAGACGTATTTATTATTAATGAGACTAAATTTACAAAGTGTTTTTTAAGATATTTCTTTTAGTTAATTATTCAAAGATTAGAAGAGTACTTTTGTTTTGATTTAATCTTGAATAATTTATGCAAACGAAAAATAATATTTTAGGGTGGTATTTTAATTTTTGGGTTTTTTTTTATTTTTTTTTTTTATTTCTTATCTGTTTTTGTTTGGAAATATTTGTTTAGCAAGATCATGAGTTGTTTGATCGTGTTATCAAGACGACGCGATCGAGGAAGCAAAAGCTTCTTCTCTCTCGCATGAAATAGCAGAGGGCCGGTTAAATAAATTTAGAAACCAGGAAGCGACGACGAGACACACACTTCACTCCGAACTTTCTTTCTTTCATTTATATTATATATATATATTTTAATATTATACATTATTATATCTAATATACAAAAATTAAATATAATAGAAAAATATTTATATTAAAAAAGTATAACAAATACGACTGACTTACCAATTTTTTGTATAAAAAAAAAAAAAAAATTATTTCTAATATTTCCTTCACCTTTATTTGAATTGTTTTTTTTTCTTTTTTTTTTTATTCTTTTTTAATATTTTGTTCATTTCTTTTTGAAGAATAAATCACTTGCCAGTGGATATCATCATCGAGAAACACGAGACGCGGTGACATTTTACAATATTCACCTTTTGTTAAACGTAATCCAAGATCCCAAGGTGTTTGTTGTATCAAACACTCTCTGTTACTTTCTCGCTCTTTACATTCCTCTCTCTCTCTCTCTCTCTCTTCGACTTTTATATTTTTATATATTTTTTTTTTTCTCTTTTATATCTACCTTTTATGATTTTTCTTTTTTTTTTCTCTCTCTCTCTTTTTTCATGACGCCCTGTTCATTTTCCTTATTCCACCTTCTACTCCTCTTCCTCTTCTTTCATATTCTTCCACTCAACTCTTTCTCTTTTTCTTTTTCTTTTCCCCCTTTGTCATCGTCCCTTCCTTCTTTCCTTCCTTCCTTCCTTTGCCTTCCTTTTCCTTTTCTTTCCTTTTCTTTCTTTTTTCTTTCTTCTTCTTCTTTCTCTCTCATTCATGCACTTTCTATTCTTTTCGGTCTAGCCTTTTCGATCGTAGGAAGAAGAATCACGATAAAGTATCATACTAATCTACTATCATGCATCTAGGAACCACGAATTGCCACTCATATTCGAGTATCCAAATTCTTTGAAGTTTTTCTTTTGTTTTTTTTATTAAAAATAAAAAAAAAAATTAAAAAGAAGAAGAAGAAGAWTATTCGATCACCTTTAACCCTTTCGCACCGGCTGAGACATATGCTGTCCCAATCAATGGGACTTATGTGTTCAATCAATTGAAAACTCAATTATGAAATCACTGTTGTTGATGGTGCACTGTTATGGGGACATTTATGCGTCTCCAAATCCTTCAATCTTTTAGCCATAAAAGTTATTTTATCAAATAATCACTTGGAAGAAAAATGAAATGATTTTTATAACAGGACGCACTTGGATTGATTTTTCGCCATATTGAAAGGGTTAAAGACATGTCTTGTTACGCGAAAAATGATGTCAATCAATAAAAAATTACAAATATAATTAAAATATTCTCAAAGGACTTTCTGATATAAATACACACACACATACATAAACACACATGTATACATATACATTTATTAATACGTGTGTACAATTTTCCGGTCTGAATAACGAGATTTGCATCGGATTGAATTTTGCATAACGAGTTGGGAACTCGATCGGTTACAAAACTTGGACTAAGTGATATATGTGTGTACACATGTGCATATGTGTCTACACACATATATATATATCTTATTTTTGTAATTTTTTTTTATATTACTTATCGTTGTAATAGTTTGCACACGGTAGGCTCTTAAATGACGTCCAAAAATGGTAGCTCATAATGAAATGAAAAATTACTTCACCCTTTTCTTCTCTTCTCTTCTCCCTCGTCCACCCCTTCCCTTTTGTCAAATGAAAGAATGATATCTCACGTGTTATGTACGAACAAACATTTAATACACAATACAAGTGATGGAGATTTATATGAACTAGTTTTGGGAACCCCCCATCCCACCCCTTCCTTCCCACAGACGAGATATTTGTACTACGATTAATGTACACTAACTGTGTTTGTGTGTATGTCAGTGTGACAAGACAAACCGATTTGAATTGCATTTGAAAATGGGTTTCAAGTTGTATCGTTTTAATTTGATGTTAGGGTTGACTGTTCTCGTATTGCTGTTCTAACGAGGGAATACATTTGTTCTGTTAACTTTTTCTATTTTTTTTTTTATTACATGCATGCTTTTGTGTGCACATAAATGATTTGACGTTTGTTAATGTAAAATGGATCAAAGGTTTTTTTTTTGTTTTTTTTTTTTGTTTTTTTCTTGTAAGTGAGATTTAACAAAATTAATTATTATTTTATCAAACATTGTATGGTAATTTTTGAAGGAAGAATGGACATGTTTTTTTTTTTTTTTTTGGTATTATTAATTTCACACGTTTGTTGAAGTAAATTTGAACGAATGACAGAACAACGTTGAGAGTATATTTCGATAGAGAGAGAGAGAGATCGATTTGAATGACTTTTGTTGAATATAATTGAGTGATATACTTGTCATTTGACATAATAGTTTGACATAAAGCTTTGTGCTCTTCACAATCGTAAATCGAAGCTTTTGAAAAGTATTGATAAAAATGTTTCGTTGAATTAATTCAATTAAAAACTTACTACTGTCCACTACATATGTCATTCATTGATAACAAAACAAAGAGAAGAATTATTGTACTAATTCGAATGTGAATTTGTTGTTTCAGAACCCTAAAAATCATCCATCGATCATGTCTGTACTACTGGAAGCTAGGCCTTACAGGCCCTTCAAATCTTCAGAGGAGTATTTGGTCGCAATGAAGGAAGACTTGGCTGAATGGTTGAATGCACTTTATCCAGAACTAAGAATCAATGTTGACAATTTTATGGATCGTCTTGACACTGGCGTGGCATTATGCAAAGTAAGTTTTAATTATTACTTTTTTAATCAATAAATTATAAACTAATTATTCATTATCATTGCGAGATATCAAAAAACATCATGGTAGGGATTACAAGTTTGAAGTTATTTGGGTATATTTTATTTCCAAAAGTTGCTTGAAATTAAAATATATTTTTTACAATTTTATTTATATGAAAATAATAATATTAATATTATTTGGTGTTCACCCTAATATTAATATATAATAATTATATATTAATATTATAGGGTGAACCAAAAGTTCGTACGTTTATTGCATTATTTCAGATTCGGCAATTTTTTTTTTTTTAAATTAAACAAAATAACTTTATATTTGCAATTGTAAAATATTAATTCAACAAACTTACGAACCTTTTTTTTTTTTTTGTTTCACCCTAATATTATTATAATGTATTATTTAATATAACGGATGTCACGGTATGCTTTTGTCAAATGAATTTAATTCTTTAGTAGACACGCATCTCACAATTTAGATAATTTTTAATATATTTGTCACGTGGTGTGTATATGTGTGTAGCTAAATAAAAATTTGGCGAATAAAAAATGCGTTTCGTGTGTTCGTTGAACGTTTGAAATCTTTCGTCATTCACCAATACAATTAGACAAGTTGAAAACAAAGAAAGAGAAGAAGCGCACATTAAAATCGTCATACGTGTTATATGCGTTAGCGTTTTTTTTTTTTTTTTGTTTCTTTCGTGCTCGCGTCAGTCGCGTTTAAAAGAGTGAGGAGGTGGAGGAAGAGGAGGTGGAGGAGGAGGATGCGTGTGACGTCCAGCGGAAACTCTGAGCCCTACGTGGTCAGAATTAATATACGATTTAACCTCTAATGAACGTGGATGAAGAAGAAAAGCGAAAGAAAAGTCTTTCTCAACCGTTACAACAGTTATTATTATTATTATTTCTTTTTGTTTTTGTTTTATTTAAACAATAATAATATTAATTATTTAATCGTGGTGAAATAACCGAGTAACTTTTAATATTTCATATAAATGGATTTTTTTATTAATTAAAAAATACAAAGTATGTTTGCAAAAAGGTATGTGTTAATAGGACGTAAGTAAAAGAATAGAGTAATCTCAAGGGATCGAATTGAATCGAATAGAATCGAATAGAATCGAATAGAATCGAATAAAGTTCGATAGTCATCGTTTCTCAAGCACAACCAAGTGGTATTGAGTAGATCATTCGAACGGCAGCCAACTTAGAGTTGACTTTCACTGATCTATGAGGGACATTCGAGACACTGGGTAGTCTATTCGGAACGTACGGGGTCTGAAACGAGCTCCATTCATTGGTATGACAGAGAGAGAGAGAGAGAGAGAGAGAGAAAGAGAGAAAGAAAGAAAGAGAGAGAGAGAGAGAGTTGACATACGTTGAACGCGTATGGTCCATAATGCCCACGGGTTCTCGTTCGATCACGGGGCCCTATCCTCTATCCAAGTGTGCATCTATTATATACATTTATTCTATATATTCGTGTACACATGTATGTGTGTGTGTGTGTTTTTTATGTGAGTGTATATGTAATGGGAAATATCGAGAGAGTTGAGATTCTGTTTGTGACTCGTACGGCTTGTTATTAGCAGCCGCAGCAACCATGCACCACCACCACCACCACCACCACCATCACCACCATTACCACCATTGCGTTCTTCTCGTTGTTGTCGTCGTTATAAATTCATGCCAGAGAAATATTTAGAGTAGGTAGGACGATAAAACTGGCGGCAGGCCCCTAGAGAAAGTTTATGTGGTTGATCGGTATGGTGGCTCATCGAGGGGGGCAACATTTGCAACATTTTGCAAAGCTTTTATGTTTCTTCTCTTTTTTTTTTTTCATTTTTCTACCCTTTCTTAAAAGATCAACTTTGAATTTGAACGTTTCAACATTGTTTTATTTGATTTTGATTTATTTTTTTTATAAATCACATGTACAAATAATATTCAATTTTCAATTTGAACATTTCAACATTGTTTTATTTTATTTTCATTAATTTTTCCTATAAACCAGGTGTACAAATAATTTTATTCAATTTTAAATTTGAACATTTCAACTCTGTTTTATTTTATTTTAATTAATTTTAGTTATAAACCACGTGTACAAATAATTTTATTCAATTTTCAATTTGAACATTTCAACATTGTTTTATTTTATTTTATTTTAATTAATTTTTTGTTATAAACCACGTGTACAAATAATACTAACAATTTATCATGATAGTTTTATTTTTTTTTTTAAATAGTTAACGGGACAATGTATGTTAGCTGTTATCAAAATTGATTATTCCAAACTAGTAAATAAAAAAAAAAAAAAAAAAATAGAAAAAGTATAAAAATATACGCACCGTTAGACCTTATTTGCGTCGTACGCCAATAGCGATTTTCTTCTGTAAGATAAGACCGTATGAGGAATAAAATATGTATAGATGTGTGTTTGTGTTTTATATACACGTGTGTAGATATTACAGATGGTAAAATCCGTTGGAATGTTCAATACACAGGTAACAAGGATGCAAAAGGTAATAGGGGTGGAGTCTTCTTTGCATACGCGCCGACTTTACGAGCCGTAACCGGGAGGAGGTCTATGAGGGAAACGGGGGACGAGAAGTTGAGGGACGAGAGTTGGGGGAGGAGAGTTGGGGGAGGAATAGTAATAAGGTATCACGCCAATGAACGATAAGAGATGACCCCCCGTTGCTCTCAATTTTACTTACTTCATTTTTTCTTTTTTTTTCTTTTTTCAAGAATTTCTTTTGATTTTTCTATTTCTAATCTTTTTATGAAAATGTCAGGTGTCAGGTAACACTAATTCGCAAAAGTAGGACAAAGACACTTCCTACAACACGTTGTCATCTATGTCAAAACGTGTCACAATCATTTATGTCAATCTCGTGCAAATGTTGAGATCATTTTTATTAACAAAAGTTTTGATATTTGATAACAATTTATATACGTAAAATTATATAGAAAATATTTTGCTATTTATTTTTATAGAGTTTCATTTTTGAAATAATATCTTATGATATTATATAATAAAATATTATATATATATACATTAAAACACATAATTAAATATAATTAGTTAAAAATAGTACAATTAAAATATAAATATAAAAGGAAAATTGGTTAAAAATATATAAATATATTTTATATTATAAAATATAAAAAGTTATTAATAAATATAATTTTTTTTCGATTTCTGGATGCACACAATAGTTTCGTATTTGTACTATGATCTTTTTAATTAATAGTTATAGAATATAATACATTTTTTTTTTTTTTTTTTTTTTTTTTTTTTTTTAACACATTCATTAAATCTAATTTCCATTTAATTTAGTGTCAAGTTCTTCCATAGACCTTTAGAAATATTATGGGAATTTTAGTGGTGTCAAGTGTGCTTCGTGCAATCGTTAAAAATAATCTCGTGACACGTTAGGGTTAATACGTGGAAAGTACTTTCAAAGGAAACTTTTCAATTGTTATGGGATTTTGAGTGGTGTCAAGTGTTCTTAAAACGAAATTGCTAAAAATAGTTCGTGGAACGTATCCTTCGTGTAAAATTTGTTTAACAAAAGTTTCACATATATACTTCTCCTAGTGTTAAAAATACAAACGTATAATAATTAAAATGTGTTCTTTTCCATATATTAAATAAATAAATTCATTTAAAATATAAAAATTAGTTTAACAAGTTAAAATTGATTATAACATAAAGAAATGATCATAGTTTTGTGAACACAAAAAATCAATTTTTAAAACTTTCCTATATGCAATCTTAAAAACAAAAACACAAAAGATTGATTATTTATGTATACGTAAATCGGTGTCTAACTTCATATAGAATTTAACACATACATATACACACACACACATTCGTATCTCGTTTTCTCGCTTATTATAGCATTTGAAAATAAGTCATTATGGAATTTAAACGAGATCAGAAATAACGACTTCATCTAAATTTAAGTCACGTATGTTAGTTTGTTCATTCGATCGTGGTTAACTTAGTTCATTATTTTTAATTCACTCGAGTATTTGACGTATTGACATAAATTTTCATTGATTGGAAAATACTATTGAAATACAATCATTGTTGATCGGAAGTTTAATAGAAGGGGGAGAGAGGGGTGTGGGTGAGAGAGAAAGAGAGAGAGGAGGGTATATTGACGTTGAAGAAAAACATGGAAAAATATTTGAGGTTTATTTATCGATCGAGATAGGACGATATCCCGAACGATGACATTCACACGTATGTTTAAATATGTGTGTATGTATGTGTATGTGTTTGTGTGTTAATGTGTTGGGATTTCCTGTCGAAAATGACAAATACCAGGCGCCTCGATGTTCACTCCTTATATGAGAATCGTTCGACGTTATCTTTTAAATGCATTGCCATCGGCTATGGTGATGGTGGTGGTGTTATGTTATAGTAGTAGTAGTAGTAGTAGTAGTAGTACCGTAACATTGATTCCTAAGGCGATTTCGAACGGTCGAGCTTGCTTACATTTTCTTTATTTCTATTTCTCTCTTGGTAAGTTTCAATGAGATTTCGCGAGATCTCTTAGGTGAGCTATGAGTGCATTGTGCAACCCTGATCGAAAGTTTTCTGATAATAAATACTAAATGTGCATCGTATATATATAGAGAGATCTATAATAATAGAATATACACTATAATCGTTAAGATAGTTTTTCATTGATATATATATATTTTTAATTAATTATATCAATTTATTATATATATATACATACTATTATTAATATAATATATATAATATTAATATATATATATATAAATACATTATATTAAATATATAAAAATTAATAATTATAATATATATATTACATATTTTTATTTTATAATATATATATAAATATTATATATATATATATATATATAATACTACAGAAATAAAAAAAATAATTTAAATTTGATACACATAAGTTTAAGTTTAAGTTTATATATAAAATAAAATAAAATATT